TGGGATTTGAACACCCAACCTACCACTTGGGGGGTTGACAACCTGACCACTTCACTAGGTCGCCACACCCCTTGTTAAGTAATTTGTATTTTCTGATTTTTTATTTGTTTTATGTTAGTTTTCATTTGTCTTGATTTCATTTTCTTTCTATTTAAGTTCTTCTTCTTTGGTTCTTAATTTGTTGCTATTTCTTTTTTGACTTTTCTTCTTATATTGCATCTGTCTCTTTATAGTGTCTTCTTTTATTTCTGATATCATTCTATATTAGTCACTCTTTTTTTTGCTGATTCTCTGTATTGCTTTATTTCTGTCATACTCATAGTTAAAGTTAACTTCTATCTATAAGTTTTCTCTTTTAAAGACTTCTTTAATGTCTTTGACATGTATGTTATTTCTTAAAGACTATCTAATAAATTTTATGCATTCTTCTTTTGTTTTCTCTAGTATATTGTGTACTAGTATATTCATAAGTAGGCTGTTGTTCTGGTTACAATTTCTCTTGCTTGGAGCCCATATGCTTTCTTCAAGAGGTTCTCCTACTATGTCAATTTCCTTTTTGAATTCTAGTTTGATGTCTTCTTGTTCTTGCTTTTTTTTTGTTTTTTTTGTATTTCTTTTTTGACTAGGCAAATTCTCTTGCTGTTGTTAGATTTGTCCTACTTTTATTTTGCTGTTATTACTGTTACTTACCTTTACTGCCTTTTCTTACTTTATTATCTTGTTAATTTCTTAGGCACTTACTTCATATTGATTCTTTTCTTCTAGTTTCTTCTTTAATGTTTGGTTTTGTTCAATTTTTGTGTTTTTTTCATTTTTGTAGTTTAGTGAAATTTCTTTTTAAGTCTGTCTTGACCTTGTTCTGGAGTAGGTTCTACTATCATTGTATAATTGCTTTGCTCTACTATGCTTAATTTTCTTTCTGATTGCTTTTTTTCTGCTTTATCTATTAATTCTCTTGTTAATCTTAATAGAGCAACTTCTTTTAAATTTTGATTTGTCAACATAGTGACAATTTCATCTTTTCTACTAGGCAATACATAGGTTTCACCGGCTTGTTTAATAAACATATCATTTTGTATACTATTAATAGCCCAGTATGCTCTATTAATATATGTTGTTATTAGACTGCTATTATGTCTTTTAGTTATATTCATATTTTCTATCTAGATTAAGCATATGTTTGTTTTGCTTGTCTCACATGTAATTGAATTGCTTATTTGTTTATATCCTTGTAATAAAACCAGATCTGCAATATCAGATTAGTGCTGATTTCTTAAAACAAACCAAATTTTCAAATTTTTGAGTGTTTTCTTCAAGAAGTTTTTAGTTTTTTTTGCCTTTTCTGTGTTGTATCTTTTGTGTTGTCTATTTCTTTTTTTTATTATACCTTTTTCGAATGCTCTTTTTTTTACTTAGTTTTGCCAAAGTAGTTTAGAAGGTCATTTTTGCATAAATTGGTTTTTCTTTTTGATCAATTTTGAGTTTAGATAATTAGCAGAAAGAGTTCTAATTAATTTAATTATAGTTAATTAATATTTATTAATTATAATGCAATATTTACTATAGTATTACTATATAGTTTCTATGTAATACTATAGTTATTTTTGATTGTAATTAGGACAACACTTGTAAGAAGACTTCTGAACACTAAATGACCATAGAGAGTTTTGTAGATAAACATATGAGCTACACAATGATATTTGTTTTATTTTTAATTAATATGTAAGTTATTACATAATGGAGCATCAAGTATTAGTAAAAATAGAAAGATATAAGATTGGTTTATCATTTGTGTACAAACATTATTAGTGAAATACATATGAAGTTTCTTAATTTCTACTACATTTTGAATGTCTATATGGTCCAGGATAATGCTACAACACATAGTAACTCTAAAACCAATCAATTATTAGGTTAAAAGCTATAAAAAGGATAGCTTTTTGTCATTCTAAAAGAATAGTTTTTGGACAACTTTTAATAGTTCTTAAACAACTCTTAATAGTTCTTGGAAGTTTTGTTTTTATATATATAAAAAGCTTCTTATAATAATTATTTAACCAACAACTCTTTAATAAAATAACCTTTAATTATTATTCTTTAAATATTATTTATAAAAACCATTCTTTATTTTATTCTTTATTTTATTTCTCTTTATATTTTATCTTTATTTCTTTTATTTTTCTTCTTTGTTTCTTATAATAATATAAAATAAAAAGTTGGTTTTCTTAATTAGTTATTTGGCAAATACTAACTTTATATTATTTATTTTATTGTTCTTTTTTCTTGTAATAATATAAAGTAAATAGCTGGTTTTCTTAATTATCATAAAAGTCGAACACGTGTACCCCGGGTATTTTCATTGCTCAATTCTGTACCCAGGGTACCTCTATACGGGGGGTACACCTTATTGATGAGGGTACACAAGTCGAGGTAAGTAGTTAATTGAACTTCCACCACTATTATATTTTTATATGCTTTACCAAAAGACAATGTGATATCGGGCTTTCAAGTTTACTATTGATTATTCATCAGATTCAACTCATAAAAAATCTGATTAGTAATGCATAAGATATGTATTATATCATCGATCAGATTTTTTATAGCCTGAATCCAATAAATAGTCAATGATAAACTTGAAAGCCCGGTGTCACATTTTCCCATGATAGCACTTTAACGTCATTCATATGATTGAAGCAGTAAATTGCAGCGATAAAAATTCTTAAAAAAAAAAGGGTATTTAAAGCATTTCTCTAAAAGTATCAAGTGTGTCGAATATTAACATTCTTTCAGTCATTTCTTAAACCATTCGCTCATATTTGAGGATGTGCCCAATTACCTTAAGCAGGACATCGGCTCTAGAATAATACCCTAACGGCTTGGTAATTGGGTTTGGATTTTTTTTATTGAATCCATTGTCATAAACATTAACTGTTTGAAGGTGTGCCCAAATTGTCTTGAGCAAGACATTGGCTCTAGGGTTTTACCCTAATGGCTCGGCAATTGGGTTTGGACTTTTTTTTCTAAATCAAATTTTTTTTTGATTTTACTGTCTGTGTAATTTTTTTCTCTTTGAATTTATTGTTTTGAACATGAATAAACTGTATGAAGGCATGCCCAATTGCCTTGAGCAGGACATCAGCTCTAGGGTTCTACCCTAATGGCTCGGTAATTGGGTTTGAATTTTTTCTTTTTGAAAATGTGAGTTCTCTGAAATATCACTACATATGTTGTGCAACATTCTCCCTAAATTAAAACTTAAACCACACTAATTCTCCTGAACATGTTAAAAAAAAATGTCTTTACGAAATAGAAATATTAAAAAAAAAGCTCATGCTATTAGTAAGAAGGTTCGGCATAACTGGAGTGTTCGCAAAAAACTTATAATGGTTTATTATTTTAAACGTATTAAAAATGTAAGAGCAACTGCAAGGCGATTTGATATTAAACCTAAACAAGTTCGTGACTGGCGAAATAAGAAGCAAGAACTTTTAAATGCAGCACCTTATCTTTTAACACTCAATCCTGGCCGACCAGCTCTGTATCCCCTTTTAGAAAGAAGGCTAGTTGAATGGGTCAATGTGCTTCGTAGAAAACAGGCAGCCGTTACATGAAATATGGTTATTAAAAGGGCAAAAAAATGGCTCAAACTAATGAGATAAAGGATGTATATCCTAATATTGATGATCTTAAGTTTTCTAATAGTTGGCTCTGTGGATTTTTGTATCGTAATAAGTTATCAAATTGCCAGTGCACAACAATTTCGCAACACCTCCCTGAAGATCTTATCGACAAACAAAATAAGTTTTTAAGCTTAGTTTTGTTTAAATGCTGTCAATACAATTATAATGTTCAATATATTAGAAATATGGATGAAACATCTTTGGCATTTGACTTGCCTTACCCGGTAACTCTCGAGAAATGTGGGGCCAAAACAGTAAGCATCCGGACAACTGGAAATGAAAAGACCTCCTTTACTGTAATTTTGGGATGTCTTGCTGATGAAAGAAAGCTTCCAGCAATATGCATTTTTAAATTAAAGAACATTCTCTGTGAAATTTTTCCTAAAGGTGTTGTTATTCATGTGAATGGAAAAGGTGATGCAATGAAGAGGAAATGAAATATTGGATCAATAATGTGTGGTCTAAGTGCAGTGAATTAGAAAGCCCCCAATCTCTCCTTATTTTGAATTCATTTAGAGGTTATACTGTAGACCCTGTTAAACATCAATTTCATGAAAACAATACTCATACCGTGGTTATTCCAGGTGGACTAACCAGTAAATTGCAACCTCTTGATGTTGCAATAAACAAATGTTTTAAGAAAAAGGTATAGTGTATTAAAATATTTATTATTTATAGAGTACATTAATAACAATTTAAATAATAGGTGCGTTTTCATTATAACCAATGGATGATCAACAACCCTCATCAATTTACACCTGCTAGACGTATTCGAAAGCTATCGTATTCCACTTTAGCTCAATAGATAAAAGAATCATGGGATGAGATTAGTCCTTGTTTAACTAGAAAGTTGTTTAAGTGTTGCAGTATCTCAGTAGAAATGGACGGATCTGAAGACGATTTAGTGTTTGACTATGAAGCTTTGGGTGAAAATTTGGAAAATGTGAATAAAGAAAGTATTGAGAAGCTTGATGATATTAATGGTGAAGAGTATGAAGAAACCGGAGGTGATAATAATTGGAAATAATGATCAAATTTCAATTTTTTTTTCAAATTTCAATTTTTTTTTTGTTTTAAATAAAACTGATTTGTTTGCTGTATAAAGTTTGCTTACTTCAAATGCAATATGTGTATTTTATTAATGTTCGATATAAAGTAGTGTACTACATTAGTAATAGAATAGAAAATGATACTTGTAATACATTATAAATTAAAATTGTGTTTGCTATATTAAATTACATTGTTGTTTGCTATATTAAATTACATCGTTGAATCAATAAATAGGTTTTGATCTTGTTATTTTTATTTTGCCAGTGAACCAAACTAGGAGTATGAGCACAATGCTATAATTGATCATAATTATAATGAATTACAACAAAAAATATCATAATTCATTATAATTACAATAATTATGGCATCGTGCTTACATTTTGTCTATATTATATGTAGTGCGTAACATTGTATAATTAGAAGATATATAATACCCGGGTATAAATCATGATCAGGCGTTTCAAACTGATAAGGAGTACACTGCATGGGGGGTATATGTGTCCGACTTTTACAGTAGTTATTTAGCAAATACTAGCTTTATATTATTAGAATTTAAAGATTATATATAGCTATAAACAGTCTAATTATTAAGGTTTTTCTTCCTCTGGTTATACTCTACAGATATTTTTAAGTTTTAAAATCTAATAATTCTTGTATAGAATAAACATTTTGTTATGTCTAATCTGCACAGACTAGACAATAGAATTAGTTTAAAAGCTGGTCTTATTGTTGTATCTTATAGTACTTAGGAGGCTATTGAATTTAAATTTTACTTTTATATATTTATTTCTTATTTTTGTTTATTTTTATTTATTTTATTTTTCTTTAAATAAAAGATCTTCTACTCAGCATTCATGTATTTAAAAATTACTACAGCTTGCTAGTTTTTAGTAAATTTTATTACAATATATTAAGTTAGGTTAATATTTTTTTTAGTCTGATTTTGGCAACCTAGTTAATAGTACTCCTTATCTGAACTTTTTAGTATTTTTTTTTAGATTTAGTTTTTATAATAGTACTGTTAAAGATCTGTATATTTCTTTGTTTAAATTTTTTCAAATAGGCTTTTTATTTTTTAATTTCTATAAATTTACATAACTTTAAAAACTTACTTGGGTTTGTACTGCTTAATGTCAGCTTGCATTTCTTTATATCTCTGGTTATACAGATGTTTTAATTTTTTTTTTAAAATATTAAGATGAGTACTTGTAACCCAGGATTTTATTAATAGTACATTCAGCTAATGATTGCTTTATAACCACAAAGGGCAACTATGGAAAGAGTATACAACTAGTCACTCATATAACTTTAGTCATTGTCTAATTTAAGTAGTCCACTCGAAGGTTCTACACTAGCTGCCATACCTGGAACCTGCTTGTAGATTCCCTATTTAACTACTCTGTTCCCATATCCACCC